GAAGCACTAGGCTGCGAATGCCGAGCAGCTACCTAGTGAACTCTGAATCGCCTGAGCTGGAAGCAATCGGCACTCGCTAGCGGAACCCGAGGCTCCTGTATCTGCACATAGGGGTGCAAGGAGTAATGTAAGTACTCCGATTCAGTGAGTAATAATAATAAATGAAGACTGAGCGAGGACAAATCACGTAAAAACACAACAATATGCTATAGAGAAGCAGTGTAAAAACCAATAAAAGGCAAAGAAACAGTGAAATCTTATATAAAAAAACACCTTAGTTCAGAATAAGCTTCTTTAATACACCTTTTTAACAGTTAGACAAGTAAATGACAGGCAACTAGAAGAGATAAACACATAACAACTGCCCCTCGGGCACAATACCAACGGAACCAGCCCCTCAGGCTATATCTCATATCACAATGGGTACCCGCTTTCATTGGGGGTGTACAGACTCCGAGAGGGGCCCCTTACGGCCCAAGTGCAATATCAAGCCATCTCGTGGCTAATCAATAAGATTTCGGCCTCATATCAAGACACCTTGTGGCGTACAATCTCAAGCCCTCGGCCTCATAATCATAAATCAGTGTATCCATGCTGCGGCATGCAGACCGACCCAAAAGTATCCTCACAACACAGGCCCTCGGCCTTACTCAACCAGAATCTCATAAGCCACTCGGGCAACAGTAAAACATGATGCTCGGCCCAAAATATCATTTAAAGAGTCATTTAATGTTTAAAGCAGAGTAGACATGGTTGAGTTATGAAATGGTATAATATAGCATGACTGAGTACATATATTAAAATCAAAATAGTGAGGAAATAGTAGTAAAAATACCCTAAGGGTCCAAATAGTTTGTATGAGGCCCAAATATGGCATTTAACCAAAACATGATGATAGTAAATAATTTTCAATCAAATACGCGGTAAAACAGCCATTCGCGATGGACTAAGTCACAATCCCCAATGGTGCACGACCCCACGCTCGTCATCTAGCTTGTGCGTCACCTCAATATAACACAACAATGTAAAATCTGGGGTTTCATACTCTCAGGACAACATTTACAAACATTACTCACCTCAATCCGGTCCAAACTCTAGCCCGCGATGCCTTTACCTCTCGAATCGGCCTCTGAATGCTCTAAATCTAATGAAAATCAGTGCAAAACCATCAAAATATGCTAGGGGAACAAAGCCCACTCGAAAGAAATTAAATTACAAGACAAATCCCGAAATTGGCCAAACCCGACCTCCGAGCCCACATCTCGAATTCCGATAAAAATTACATAAATACACTTCTTATCACCCCCGAGTTCATTAATATTAAAATCACCAAAATCCAACCACAAACGACCCCTCAAATCTAAAATTCTAGGTCTCCAATTACAAACCCTAGTTCTTCAATATTAAGCTTAAATTCCATGGTTAATTATGTAGAATTCACATTAGGACTGAGTATTAAGTCCATAAATCTTACCTCCAAGTATTTCCCTTTGATTCCCTCTTCAATTCTTCTCAAAAATCTCTAAAATTGCTCAAAAATGGTGAAAGTTAGACCCAAAATTGTGGACAATGGCTATTTAAACATTCTGCTCAGGCATTCAAATCCTTCTTTTCGAACACGGTCAAAGCCTCGCGTTCGCGAATCATAATCTGGCATTGACCACAAATTCCTCTTACGCGAACGCGACTGCCCCCTCGCGAACGCGATGGCTCCGCAACTCAAACCATCACGAACGCGTCTGTTACCTCGCGAACGCGATACCCAAAGACCCAGCCCTTCGTGAACGCGAAGGCCAAATCTACAACCTCACATCTCAACCCTTCGCAAATATGAGGGACCACTCGCGAACGCGAAGGCCAACAGTCTACAACACTCAACAGCAGATTTCTGCAATTTCTCACAACTTGAAATGGTCCGTTTAATCACCCGAAACTCATCTGAGGCCCTAGTGATCTCAACCAAACATGCCAACATATCCCATAACATACTTAAAACTTGTTTCAACCTTTGAACGCTCAAAACAACATCAAAACACCAAATTCGCATCGAATTCAAGCCTAAGAATTCCAAAATCTTCTAAATTCTGCTTTTGATTGAAAAGCCTATCAAACCACGTACGAATGACCTGAAATTTTGCACACACATCCCAAATGACACAACGGATCTACTGCAATTTCCATAATTCCATTCCGACCCCTATATCAAAATCTTACCTATCAACCGGAAAACGCCAAAATTCCAATTTCGCCAATTCTAGCCTAAATCCACTTCAGACCTCCAAAACACATATTGGTCACGCTCATAAGTCCCAAATCACCTCCCGAAGCTACACGAACCACCGAAACTCACATCCGAGCCCTTTAACACATAAGTCAACATCCGATTGACTTTTCCAACTTAAGCTTCCTCAAAAGAGACTAAGTGTCTCAAACCTTACCAAAACCTCTCCGAACCCGAGTCACCCAACCCGGTAATGCATAATACCGATAAACAAAGCAATAAGAAGCAGAAATGGGGGAAGTAGAGCGGTAACTCATGAAACGACCGGCTGGGTCGTTACAGGTCTCGCATTCACGTAGGGTATCTGCGAGGCCAGCTGAAGTTGTTCTTCGCGTTCGCAAAGATAGAGCCACATTCACGAAAGGGTTGTTAGGCAGTGCACCGCGAACACGAGATGGGCATCACATTCGCGTAGAGAAAGTTGAGCGGCTGGGACCCCATGCATTTTTGCCTACGCGCTCGTGATGTTTGTCTCGCGTTCGCGTAGGGTTGAGCTGAGTGGTCTTTGCGTTTGCAACCAGTGTATTGCGTTCGCGATCAAGGGATTCTGGGTCAAAGTAAGTTTGTGCTTCGCAAACGCGAGGGTCCTTCCGTGTTCACAAAGAAGGAATTAACTGGGCAGAATATAAAATTTCAAAAATGAGGGTTTGGCCATTATTATCAAAACTTGAGTTTGGGAACTCGGATTTGGACAAGATTTTGAGGGATTTTCATATATATCAATATGGTAATGATTCTACACTTGATTTTGGTTATATCTTACTAATCTATCATTAATTGTATCATTTAATTTCACATTTGGGGTGAAAAATTTGGGGAAATGGAAAGAAGTTCTTCAATAAAGATTTTGGGTTTTGATTGGGATTTTGACATCGGATTTGGATAATTTGTGTACGAGTGAACTCGTGAGTGAATGGGTGTTTTTATTTTTTGACTTTTACTCGATTTTGAGACGTGGGCCCGGTAAGACTTTTTAGGGCGATATTTCATTTTCTTCCTTTAGCTTTGATTTCATTAGCTAGATTGGTTTTTTGTAGTTATATTTATGATATGTAATTGATTTTGGCTAGATTCAGGCCATTCGGAGTCGGATATTCGTGGAAAAGGCATTGTTATCTTGTAATTGAGCTTGGTTCGAGGCAACCGGTTTGCCTAACCTTGTGTGAGGGAAATCCCCTTAGGATTTGGTATTGTTTTGATATGTGAGCGTCGTGTACGTGAGGTGACGAGTGCGTACACGGGCTATTTATTTTAAGGTCTGATATTCACTGAGTAATAACTTGTTTCTTCTTATTTGAGTTCTATCAGCATGTGTAATTATACTGTTTAGCTTAGAATAGCATGTCTATGTATCTTAAATGCTTATCTGAACTTTGTGCAGCATGGCTAGTGAATTTTCCTGCCTTCCTCTTGACTTGCACTTAGTTGAAACTGCAGGATCTCTACTGTAACTGTTAATTTCATTCTTTGTTGCATATTTATTTTGGGACTACAGAACGGTATTTCAGGAGATTCCCCTACACATTTACTTTGGGACTACGGGACGGCATCGCGGAAAATCCTCCTCCATATTTATTTTGGAATTGTGGAACTGTATTCCGGGAGATCCCCCTGCATATTTATGTTTGGGACTACGAGACGGTATCTCGAGAGATCCACTGTTATTACCTTTTGTACTGCACTGTTATCTTTTTTGTGATTTCCTTCCGTTTAAATTTCGGTCTTTATTTTACTCCGATATTTTTGTTCCGTCTTACTTTATATATTTATACCAGTAGGGCTCTGACCTAACCTCATCAATATTCGACCAAGGTTAGGCTTGGCACTTACTGGGTACCGTTGTGGTATACTCATGCCTCTTCTGCACATGTTTTTCGTGTGCAGATCCAGGTACCTCTTACCAGCCTCGAGTTTAGTTTCACGGTTGCTTCTTTTTTGGAGACTTCAAAGTACATTTGCCCACGTCCGCACACCTCGGAGTCCCACTCTATCTCCTTATGTTGATTCTTCCCTTATTTCTTTAGACACTAATGTATAGAACAGTTAGAAATTCGTAAAAGCTTGTGACTTAAGATGCTCCGGGTCTTGAGAGAGTTGTGTATATTTCGAGAGTTGAGTATTGTATATGTCGAGTGGCATGTCAAATGCTTATTTAAATTATCTGTTACTGTTAGTTGTTAACTTTTATGTTTTTTATTTCTTTTCCGCAAATGTTACACTTACCTAATGGTAGAGACTAGGTGCCGTCACGATAATTCACAGAGGGAGAGTTTGGATCGTAACATCAAGTTTCAAACTTAAAAACGAATAGATAGGTGGTTGAGTATAGTTTTAAGTAAATATCAAAAAAAGAGTTTTCTCTACCTCATAGAAAATCTTGCTTAGGAAGCTAGCGCCCGCTCTCGCGGGGCTTGCTCGATCACAGCGCCTTCCTTCTAATCGGTTTGAAGAGAAAAGGAAACAATAAAGGTTCACTTTTAATGGTGCTTCCCCGTACACGTATGTTGGCGCGAGGTACATGTAGCTATGCATCTTAATGAATCTACAAGAAGTCTTTCATGCAAAAGGGCAGGTGGACCCATAAGAAATCAATTGCCAGTTATAACGTTACGGTCTCTTAAAAATTAAAACTGAGAGATTAATAGAACATAAATCAGTAAATAATAATTCAAAATAGATATCCTCTAATTAACATGAAGTATCAAGAGCAAAATTAAAATTGACCAAAAACTTTCATGATATAGTTTTCGGGAAATTTATGGCGAATTCTCCGGGATGAACATCTTTACAAAATATCAAGTTCTAATAAACAAAATATTAGGAAATAATAATATTTTCTCCTAAAGCACATCTAAACTCGCTCCTCTCCATAAACTGATAAGATATCATTGTTGTAGACCTGAAAAAGAATAATTTTTCCAAAGTCAATGGCAGCATAACCTGGAATATCATATACACCATGTTTTTCTTGTCCCAAAATGATGATAATCGACACTACAAACAAATATAAAGACATTACATTAAAAATTAATACTATTACTTTGTATATCGGGATTACCTTGTCAAGAAGTCAGAGTATTATCGGCAATCAAGAGTATCCTCGTGCTGCTTTATCACCACATGAAAGGAGAATTCTGCTAAAGCCTGACTCTTTTATTTTAATGACTAAATAAATTGCAACTCTTTAAATTCTCCATGTTTCGAATGAAATAATGCAAAGGTCGGACAATAACTTTTTAAGATAAGAACCTTTTTGAGCGTTAAATTATACATATAGCATTTCAAGAGATAGCACAATAAGTGTTGGAAGATGAAAGGAAATAAGATACTGAATATACTAAAGGAGCACAACTTTGGACTTCCAAAGGATCAGATAAAACGTACAAGTAATTATAGTTCAAGGGCTTAATTAATCGACTCTTGTGGTCCTAAATAGTCATAATTAAGATTTAACGCCATAAAAACAATAAGGAGAAGCCTAAACGTCATATTGTATCATCCATTTACCATTCGACTAATTTATTGTATTTACAAATTTATTGATATTTATTTATCTTTATTACAATGTATATTTACCACTTTGTACACCAATCTTGTTAGTACTATATAGTTTGATAAATGGCAAAAATGTCACTCAACTTGTGATGGGTAAATTTATAAATTAACTTTCAACTTAAAGTGTACCTACTTTTAGTACGTTATGATATGATATTATATATATATATATATATATATATTAGATTCAAAGGTAAACACAAATTAACATTATTGGGTCGGCCACTTTAAAAATAAAACTAGCTAATCATGACAACTAGAATAATAACACTAATCATTAAAGTGATACAATAAAGAAAAGTCTTACGGAAAGAAAGTAAATGAATCTTGTTCACAAAAGCTTCAAAATAATAGTGTATTCTATGCTCTAACAAAGTATAACAGATCAATATACTCCACAAAAATCCTAACCAATATGTTTTTAGTGGTCCAAGATTGAAGAAATAATTATGACAAAATTATTTCGCATTGTCACACACGGCCCGCATGGTGGTCCACATTTCGTCTTTTTATTAAAAAGCATTGATTCTTCTGAAGCAAAAGAAGGTGGAGGCCGCGCAGAGTTGGCCCAGGCCCTCCTCAGCTACTGAGATCCGTAGTTTCCTTGGCCTGGCGGGGTATTACCGTTATTTTGTGGAGGGGTTCTCATCGATTGCAGCCCCTATGACTAGATTAACCCAGAAGGGTGCTCCTTTTCAGTGGTCAGACGAGTGTGAGGCGAACTTCCAAAAGCTCAAGACGGCTTTGACTTCAGCCCCTATTCTGATTTTGCCTACTGGTTCGGGGTCCTATACGGTTTATTGTGATGCCTCACGAGTTGGACTGGGAGCAGTGTTGATGCAGGACGGTAGGGCGATTGCCTACGCGTCCAGACAGTTAAAGGTACATGAAAAGAACTATCCTGTCCATGACCTTGAGTTAGCTGCTATTATTCATGCCTTGAAGATCTGGCGACATTATTTGTACGGCGTGCCTTGTGAGATTTACACGGATCATCGGAGTTTACAACACTTGTTCAAGCAGAAGGATCTGAACTTGCTCCAGAGGAGATGGTTGGAGCTACTGAAGGATTATGATATCACTATTCTATATCACCCGGGCAAGGACAATGTGGTAGCTGATGCCTTGAGTCGCCGAGCGGAGAGTTTGGGGAGTTTGGCATATTTACCAGCTTCAGAGAGGCCCATGGTGATGGATGTTCAGGCTTTAGCCAGTCAGTTCATGAGATTGGACCTTTCGGAGCCCAGTCGGGTTCTAGCCTGTGTGGTTTCTTGGTCTTCATTGTTTGATCGTATCAAGGAGCGGCAGTATGATGACCCTCATTTGCTTGTCCTCAGGGACACAGTTCAGCATGGTGATGCTAGGAATGTGACTATTGGAGATGACGAGGTATTGAGGATGCAGGGTCGTATCTGTGTACCCAATGTGGATGATATTCGGGAGTTGATATTGATCGAGGCCCATAGCTCACGGTACTCCATCCATCCGGGTGCCACGAAGATGTATCATGATCTGAGGCAGCATTACTGGTGGAGGTAGATGACGAAGGATATAGTAGAGTTTGTAGCTAGATTCCTCAACTGTCAGCAGCTAAAGGCTGAGCACCAGAGGCCGGGAGGGTTACTCCAGCAGATGGAGATTCCGGAGTGGAAATGGGAGAAGATCACTATGGATTTTGTGACTGGTCTCCCTCTGACGACGAGAAAGTTTGATTCTATTTGGGTTGTTATGGATCGGCTGACCAAGTCCGCTCATTTCATTCCAGTGTGTACTTCTTACTCAGCGGAACGGTTAGCATGGATTTATATCAGGGAGATTGTCCGTCTGCACAGCATTCCAGTTTCTATCATCTCAGACAGGGGTTCAGTGTTTACATCACGGTTCTGGAGGGTCGTCCATCACGAGTTGGGTACCCGGGTGACTATGAGTACAACTTTTCACCCTCAGACGGACGGACAGTCCGAGCGCACTATTCATATTCTTGAGGATATGCTCTGTGCGTGCGTGATTGAGTTTAGAGGATTTTGGGATCAGTTCTTGCCATTGGCTGAGTTTGCGTACAACAACAGTTATCAGTCCAGTATTCAGATGGCGTCGTATGAGGCCCTATATGGTAGGAGATGCATATCCCCGGTGGGTTGGTTCGAGCCGGGTGAGGCCAGGTTATTGGGCATTGATTTGGTTCAGGATGCGGTCGAGAAGGTTAAGGTGATTCAGGATAGACTCCGTATGGCCCAGTCCAGACAGAAGAGTTACGTGGACCGGAAGGTTCGTGATGTTTCCTTTATGGTTGGTGAGCGGGTTTTGCTTCGAGTCTCGCCTATGAAAGGCGTCATGAGGTTTGGAAATAAAGGGAAGTTGAGCCCGAGGTTCATTGGTCCATTTGAGATTTTGAAGCAGATTGGAAAGGTTGCTTATGAGCTTGCCTTACCTCCCAGTTTGGCCGGGGTTCATCCGATATTCCATGTCTCGATGCTTCTGAGGTATCACGGTGACCTGTCTCACGTGTTGGAGTTCACTTCAGTCCAGCTGGACAATGACTTGTCCTATGTTGAGGAGCCAGTGGGAATATTAGACAGGTAAGTCCGAAAGCTCAGGTCAAAGGATATAGCTTCAGTAAAGGTTCAGTGGCGGGGTCAGCCAGCCAAGGAGGAGAGTTGGGAGACCGAGCGGGATATGCGCAGCCGATATCCTCATCTTTTTGCTACTTCAGGTATGTTCTCTATGCTCGTTCGAGGACGAACGAATGTTTAAGTGTATGAGGATGTGACGACCCAGCCGGTCGTCTTTGGAATTTATGCCTCGTTTCCCCATTAACTGTTTCCCCTAAGTTCATTTCTGCTATTCTGGTTTGCCGGGACGTTCGGTGTTGGGATTCGGAGTGTTTTGGGACACTTAGTCCCTTAATAAGAGCTTAAGTGTTGAAAAATGGTCCGTAATCGGAACAGTGTGAAGATGGCCTTGGAATGGAAATCTGATGGTTCCGTTAGCTCCGTTAGGTGATTTCGGGATTAGGAGCGTGTTCGGAATATATTTTGGAAGTCCATAGCTCATTTAGGCTAGAAATGCCGAAAGTTAGTATTTTGACAAATTTCGGTTGATAGGTTAAATTTTGATCCAAGGGTCGGAACGGAATTCTGGAAGTTGCTGCAGCTTCGTTAGATGATTTAGGATATGCATGCAAAATTTCAAGTCATTCGGACATGTTTTGATCGGGTTTTTGATCGAATGTGTATTTTGAAGTTTCTAAAAGAACTTAGGCTTGAAGTTGATGTAATTCGATGATTTTAGTGTTAGTCGAGGTGTTTTGATGATTGAAACAAGTTTGCATAATGTTTTAGGATGCGTTGGTGCTTTTGGTTGAGGTCCGGGGGGCAGCAGTGGAGATGCGGACCGCGCTCCTTTTCGCGCTAGGCGCGCGGCCGCGCCCGGGAAGATCTGCAGACTGTTGGTTCTACTTCGGAAGCTCATATCTTTTGATCAACACGGAATTTTGAGGTGATTCAAAAACGAAAATTGTAGAGCTTTGAATTCAGTTTTCAAAAACATATTATAATAGGCATTTGGACATCTGTAGGGAATGTTATGGCCAAAATAGTGAAGCCTGTCACTGCAGTCAAATTGTTGCGCGGCCGCGACCATTTTTGTGCGGTCAGCACTCCCTGGGCGCGGACCGCGGTCATTTTTGTGCGGTCAGCACTGTCGGAATCCGAGAGGTACTCTATAAATACGAGGTTTTGGGTTTTATTTGATATTTTGACCTATAGAGCTCAGATTTTGGCGTTTTCTCGAAGGTTTTTCAAGAAATTCATCGGGGTAAGCGATTCTAACTCAGATTTGGTTAGAATACATGAATATACCATTAAATTAATCATTTAATTAGTGATTTGAGATGGAATTTGGGAAGAAAATTGTGGAATCTTTCAAAAATATAAAATGAAGATTTGAAGGACCAAATGGTGTCTGAATTGGATAAATTTGGTATGTTTTGACTCGTGAGAGTACGAGGTTTCTGGAAATGTAAATTTTATTCGATTTCTAGACGTTGGCCTGAGGGGCATTTTGGTCATTTTACCTATTTTCGCGCCTTAGCTTTAATTTTAATAGTGGAACTAGTTACTTGCGATGTTATTTACAATATGTAATTGGTTTGAATAGATTTGGGCCACTCGGAGTCGGATACTCGTGGCAAGGGCATTGTTTCTTAGCGATTTTTGTACCGGTTCGAGGTAAGTGGCTTGTCTAACTTTGTGTGGGGGACCTCTCCCATTAGGATGTCTTTGCTGTTGTTAAAATGCCTTGTCCGCGAGGTGACGGGCGTGTACTTGTGCTAATTATTTAAAATTCACCTTACTTGACTTATTTAGACTGTGTTTCTTCACGTATTTAACTATTAAAAAGGCAAATTTCACTTGTTTCAGCTTAGGGAGAACATGTTAGTAACTTATTTGCTCTATTTGACTAAATTGCAATGTCTGCCTTTGTGAAGCATGTTAGACTCAAGATTTTTTTTCTTGTTGTCCGCACTTAGCTTCTTTCTGTTAATTATTGATTTGTTGTGATGTGTTTACGATTGGGTCTACGGGACGGCTTCCCGGGAGTTTCCCTCGTTCTTATTTTGTTCCGAGATTTGGAAGTGCGGGATACTAAGAGATCCCCGGCACAGGATTGATTAATTGGAGGATACTAGGAGATCCTCGGGATACTTGGAGATCCCTCGTGATGTACTGGAGGATACTAGGAGATCCTCGGGATACTTGGAGATCCCTTGTATATATGAAGAGGATACCAGGAGATCCTCGGGNCGGGAGTTTCCCTCGTTCGTATTTTGTTCCGAGATTTGGAAGTGCGGGATACTAAGAGATCCCCGGCACAGGATTGATTAATTGGAGGATACTAGGAGATCCTCGGGATACTTGGAGATCCCTCGTGATGTACTGGAGGATACTAGGAGATCCTCGGGATACTTGGAGATCCCTTGTATATATGAAGAGGATACCAGGAGATCCTCGGGATACCAGGAGATCCCCGATGATAAATAGCCTGTAGTGATCGTTCTTGTATTTGTAGATTTGTATTTGTAGCCTGTTCCGTTTACTTATTGTTTTTGCTAGATACTCGAGATTTACTGTATTTCCTTTTGTCTATTCATTTCATATTTATTCTTATGTTTATCTCAGTAGGGCCTCGACCTTCCTCGTCACTACCCCACTGAGGTTAGGCTTGGCACTTACTGAGTACCGCTGTGGTGTACTCATGCTACTCTTCTACACACTTTTGTTGTGCGGATCCAGGTACATCTGAGCAGGCATACCGCCAGTAGCTGTCAGGGAGCATTATTGGAGACTTGAGGTATACATCTGCTACGTCCGCAGATCCGCAAAGTCTCCTTCTCATTCCATCCCTAGTTGTTAGCTGTTATTTCGATTCCTCTCTTTGTATTAGACAAATTCTGGTGTCTAGAGCAGTGTTAGACTTCTTGTAACCTGTGTTGCTCGTGGGATTCCGGGTTTTGGGATGTTACTTTCAGGAGTTGTGTATTCAGTGTATGTGTCAAGTGGCATCATTATACACTTCCTTTTCTATTTAGTGTTTGTTTACTGTTTTTATTTCGAACTGTTAAATTCCGCAATGTGTTAGGCTTACCTAGTCGCGAAGACTGGGTGTCGTCATGACAGGTTCACAATTGGTGAACCAGGGTCGTGACAGCAATGTTTATCTATAACGGAGTACTGAAAAGATAAGCTTATTATACCCGGTATGGATAATCTTCTACCGGAAATAATGTTTATCCATAACGGAGTATCGAAAGGATAAGCTTATTATACCCGGTATGAATAATCTTCTACCGGGGTTAATAATTATCCATAACCGGGTACTGAAAGGATAAGCTTCTTCAGGAAGCTTATTTCCAATAGAGTACTAAATAAATAAACATATTTACGGCGGAGTCCCATATGGATAAGATTCTTCAGAAAACTTATTTACAACGGAATACTAAATGAACATCCATAATATAATATATTTATAACACTCCCCCTTGGATGTTTATTAAAAGATAATGTGCCTTATTAAAACCTTACTAGGAAAAATCACCAAGTACTGAGTATTAGGACTGAGTATTAAGTCCATAAATCTTACCTCCAAGTTTTTCCCTTTGATTCCCTCTTCAATTCTTCTCAAAAAGCTCCAAAATCGCTCAAAAATGGTGAAAGTTAGACCCAAAATCGAGGACAATGGCTATTTAAACATTCTGCCCAGGCATTCAAATCCTTCTTCGCGAACGCGGTCAAAGCCTCGCGTTCGCGAAGCACAACCTGGCGTTGACCACAAATTCCTCTTACGCGAACGCGACTGCTCCCTCGCGAACGTGATGGCTCCGCAACTCAAACCATCGCGAACGCGATACCCAAAGACCCAGCCCTTCGTGAACGCGAAGGCCAAATCTCCAACCTCACATCTCAACCCTTCGCAAACGCGAGGGCCCACTCGCGAACGCGAAGGCCAACAGTCTGCAACACTCAACAACAGATTTCTGCAATTTCTCACAACTTGAAATGGTCCGTTTAATCACCCGAAACTCATCTGAGGCCCTCGGGATCTCAACCAAATATGTCAGCATATCCCATAACATCATTAAAACTTGTTTCAACCTTCGAACGCTCAAAACAACATCAAAACATCAAATTTGCATCGAATTCAAGCCTAAGAATTCCAAAAATTTCTAAATTCCGCTTTTGATCGAAAAGTCTATCAAACCACGTACGAATGATCTGAAATTTTGCACACATATCCCAAATGACACAACGGACCTACTGCCATTTCCAGAATTCCATTCCGACCCCTATATCAAAATTCCACATATCAACCGAAAAACGCCAAAATTCCAATTTCGCCAATTCTAGCCTAAATCCACTTCGGACCTCCAAAACACATATTGGTCCGATGTAGCTATGCATCTTAATTAATCTGCAAGAAGTCTTTCATGCAAAAGGGCAGGTGGACCCATAAGAAATCAATTGCCAGTTATAACGTTACGATCTCTTAAAAATTAAAACTCAGAGATTAATAGAACATAAATCAGTAAATAATAATTCAAAATAGATATCCTCTAATTAACATGAAGTATCAAGAGCAAAATTAAAATTGACCAAAAACTTTCATGATATAGTTTTCGGGAAATTTATGGCGAATTCTCCGGGATGAACATCTTTACAAAATATCAAGTTCTAATAAACAAAATATTAGGAAATAATAATATTTTCTCCTAAAGCACATCAAAAGCTCGCTCCTCTCCATAAACTGATAAGATATCATTGTTGTAGACCTGAAAAAGAATAATTTTTCCAAAGTCAATGGCAGCATAACCTGGAATATCATATACACCATGTTTTTCTTGTCCCAAAATGATGATAATCGACACTACAAACAAATATAAAGACATTACATTAAAAATTAATACTATTACTTTGTATATCGGGATTACCCTGTCAAGAAGTCAGAGTATTATCGGCAATCAAGAGTATCCTCGTGCTGCTTTATCACCACATGAAAGGAGAAATCTGCTAAAGCCTGACTCTTTTATTTTAATGACTAAATAAATTGAAACTCTTTAAATTCTCCATGATTCGAATGAAATAATGCAAAGGTCGGATAATAACTTTTTAAGATAAGAACCTTTTTGAGCGTTAAATTATACATATAGCATTTCAAGAGATATCACAATAAGTGTTGGAAGATGAAAGGAAATAAGATACTGATTATACTAAAGGACCACAACTTTGGACTTCCAGGAAGGATCAGATAAAACGTACAAGTAATTATAGTTCAAGGGCTTAATTAATCGACTCTTGTGGTCCTAAATAGTCATAATTAAGATTTAACGCCATAAAAACAATAAGGAGAAGCCTAAGTGTCATATTGTATCATCCATTTACCATTCGACTAATTTATTGTATTTACAAATTTATTGAAATTTATTTATCTTTATTACGATGTATATTTACCTCTTTGTACACCAATCTTGTTAGTACTATATAGTTTGATAAAGGGCAAAAATGTCACTCAACTTGTGATGGGTAAATTTATAAATTAACTTTCAACTTAAAGTGTTCCTACTATTAGTATATTATGATATGATATTATATATATATATTAGATTCAAAGGTAAACACAAATTAACATTATTGGGTCGGCCACCTTAAAAATAAAACTAGCTAATCATGACAACTAGAATAATAACACTAATCATTAAAGTGATACAATAAAGAAAAGTCTTACGGAAAGAAAGTAAATGAATCTTGTTCACAAAAGCTTCAAAATAATAGTGTATTCTATGATCTAACAAAGTATAAAATTATACTCCACAAAAATCCTAACTAATATGTTTTTAGTGGTCCAAGATTGAAGAGCATTGTCACACACGGCCCGCATGGTGGTCCACATTTCGTCTTTTTATTAAAAAGCATTGATTCTTCTAAAGCAAAAGAAAAAATAATGAAGATACTCCACTAAAATCTTAACCAGTTTATTTTTAGTGATCCAAAATTGAAGAAATAATTATGACATGTTATAAAATAAAGACTGTAAAGTAAAGACTAGAGAGAAATTGATATATTTTTCGAATTTAAACTGATGTACATAATGAACTAAAATTTCTTCTATTTATAGAAGAAAGGAAGCTGTTGTGTAAGCTGTTACTGCAAGCTGCTGTGTAAGCTGCTACTGCAAGCTGCTGTGTAAGCTACTACTGCAAGCTGCTGTGTAAGCTGCTACTAAAAGCTGTTGTGTAAGCTGCTATTATGCTAGATATGGATAATCTTCTACTGAGAGCAATGTTTATCCATAACGGAGTACTGAAAAGATAAGCTTATTATACCCGGTATGGATAATCTTCTACCGGGAATAATGTTTATCCATAACGGAGTATCGAAAGGATAAGCTTATTATACCCGGTATGAATAATCTTCTACCGGGGTTAATGTTTATCCATAACCGGGTACTGAAAGGATAAGCTTTTTTAGGAAGCTTATTTCCAATAGAGTACTAAATAAATAAATATATTTACGGCGGAGTCTCATATGGATAAGCTTCTTCAGAAATCTTATTTACAACGGAGTACTAAATGAACATCCATAATATAGTATATTTATAACACTCCCACTTGGATGTTCATTAAAAGATAATGTGCCTTATTAAAACCTTACTAGGAAAAACCACGTGGGAAAAAATCTTAGTGAAGGAAAAAGAGTACGCATATTTAGTAATACGCATTGCTAGGTACCTCATTAAAAACCTTATAAGGAAAACCCCATGGGAAAAAACCTTAGTAAGAGAAAAAGAGTGCATCGCGTATTTTACTCCCCCTAATGAAAATTTTGTTTTAAATATTTGAGTCTCCGCATTCCAATCTTGTATACCATCTTTTCAAAAGTTGAAGTTGACAAAGATTTAGTGAATAAATCTGTTGGATTATCACTTGAACGGATTTGTTGCACATCAATGTCACCACTTTTCTGAAGATCGTGTGTATAGAATAATTTTGGTGAAATGTGCTTCGTTCTATCTCCTTTTATAAATCCTCCATTCAATTGGGCTATGCATGCAACATTGTCTTCGTATAAAATTGTGGGTCTTTTCTCACATTCCAAACCACATTTTTCTCGAATAAAATGAATTATTGATCTCAACCATACACATTCCCTACTTGCTTCATGAATAGCTATTATCTCAGCGTGATTTGAAGAAGTAGCAACAATAGATTGCTTTGTGGAGTGCCATGATATGACAGTACCTCCATATGTAAATACGTACCCGGTATGAGATCGAGCTTTATGGGGATCAAATAAATATCCTGCATCTGCATAACCAACAAGATCTACACTATCTTTGTTAGCATAAAACAAACCCATATCAAGAGTTCCCTTTACATATCGCAATATATGATTAATCCCGTTCCAATGTCTCCGTTTAGGAGAAGAACTATATCTTGCTAGAAAATTAACAGGAAATGCTATGCCAGGCCTTGTAGCATTTGCAAGATACATTAGTGCACCAATTGCACTGAGATAGGGTACTTCGGGACCAAGGAGTTCCTCGTCCTCTTCTGGAGGTCGGAACAAATCCTTATTCACTTCAAGTGATCGAACAACCATTGGTGTACTCAATGGGTGCGCTTTGTCCATGTAAAAGCGTTTTAAGACCCTTTCTGTATAGGCAGATTGATAGATAAAGATCCCGTCTGCTAAATGTTCAATTTGCAGACCAAGACAAAGTTTTGTCTTTCCAAGATCTTTCATCTCAAATTCTTTCTTAAGATATTCAATTGCCTTTTGGAGCTCTTCTGGAGTTCCAACAAGATTTATGTCATCAACATAAACAGCAAGTATAACAAATTCTGATGCCATTTTCTTTATAAAAATACATGGACAAATAACATCATTTATGTAACCTTCTTTCAGCAAATATTCACTAAGGCGATTATACCACATGCGCCCAGATTGCTTTAAACCGTACAAAGATCTTTGTAATCTGATTGAATACATTTCATGAGATTTTGCTTCAAGCATTTTAAATCCTTCAGGAATTTTCATATAAATTTCATTATCAAGTGAACCGTACAGACAAACTGTAACTATATCCATTAGATGTATTTCAAGATTTTCATGTAGTGCTAAACTGATGAGATATCGAAATATTATGGCATCCATAACAGGTGGATATGTTTCATCAAAATTGACTCCAGGTCATTGTGAGAATCCTTGTGCAACAAGGCGAGCTTTGTATCTTTCAACTTCATTTTTATCATTCCTTTTTCGCACAAAAACCCATTGTCACACCTCCTTTTTCCGCCCCGCGACGGGTGAAGGAGTTTTTTCCAATTAAAGGACAATCGAAACGTGATTTGTTTATTTATTTCAGAGTCGCCACTGGGGAGATTTATGGTGTCCCAAGTCACCGGTTGAATCCCGAATCGAGGAAAGAATGACTCTGTTTAACAGTCCGCGAATCAGAAATCCGGATAAGGAATTCTGTTAACCCGAGAGAAGGTGTTAGGCATTCCCGGATTCCGTGGTTCTAGCACGGTCGCTCAACTATTATATTTGGCTTATTTATCTGATTTTTTTAACAATTAAGAACTTATATGCAAATTTAACTTTGCCCCTCATTTATCATTATTGTTATTATTATTATTTTATACAAGAATTGCAACGTCGTGAAACGCATCTCGAATCACATCACAACTAGTGTACACGTGATTTGTTGACGCATTTTGACTCCGCCAAGATTGGGATTTGGGTTACATAAATGCACACCCATATTTAAGAAAATACCCTTATTAAATACGCGCCTAAAGACTACGCGTTGTTATACTTTTAGGTAGGACCGTGAAATTTACTAAACCGCCCATCCCGGAATCTAAATATTTTTTTTAANTCACAACCAGTGTACACGTGATTTGTTGACGCATTTTGACTCCGCCAAGATTGGGATTTGGGTTACATAAATGCACACCCATATTTAAGAAAATACCCTTATTAAATACGCGCCTAAAGACTACGCGTTGTTATACTTTTAGGTAGGACCGTGAAATTTACTAAACCGCCCATCCCGGAATCTAAGTATTTTTTTTTAAAAAAAATAAATAAGATTGGAGGACCCTGCAAATTTTTGTATTGTTTATATTTATTTATTTTTAGCGAAATCCTCCCTTATTTTATGAATACCTTAAAATGACTATATTTTTTTATTATTATTAAGTTTGTCTATAAATATAAAATCAATCTCTACATACTTAAAAATAACATATTAAATACTAGTTTAAAACAAATATTAACGGAAAGTAATATTACTAAAATTATAATTATAAATACAATATGGAATTGTCAAATAAATTTTTTTTAAAAGAAACTAATTATCCCATAACCGGATTAAAATCATATTGTTAGATGACTTGAGCTATTGAAATTAATTATTTACAAATACTGAAAATTAGAAACAATCTTGATTACTAATCCGTATTTCTAAAATTTAATTAATTTAACCTTAACTAACCTTGTTTTAATTCAAATCATGTCCTAATACTTGATTCGCAAAATTAATTTAAATTCATGTTTTAACTAAATTTAGCTACATGATTTCGATTAACTTAATGTTGGCGATACTAAAACCCTTATGAATAGTGAACTTAATTAGTTTTGCCAAACTGATTTAATAAAGCCATTTTTACATTATTTTCTTCTCATTTTAATTATTAGACAGTTTAATCAGTAATGAACATGCTTAAATATATACTACCTAATAATCAGGTTAAAGCAAAGCATTATTTAATACATCACTACAATATGTCTAGTTATGCAAAACGACGGCGATTTACAGAATAATAATATATGAAATAACCTAAATACAATTAATAAATAAAACAAAAAAACTAAATTAGAAATTTAACATTCCATTCTTCATTTCAGCTTACAACAACAACAACAACAACAACAACCCAGTATAATCCCACTTAGTGGGGTCTGGGGAGGGTAGTGTGTACGCAGACCTTACCCCTACCCTAGGGTAGCGAGACTGTTTCCAAATAGACCCCCGGCATCCTTCCCTCCAAGAACATCCCACCTTACTTTTGGGGAGACTCGAACTCACAACCTCT